CCATATTCATACAGCTGTAACATATTCATACACTCAACTCTGTAAAATGTCAGTCTTGCAACTAAAATAAGAAATTCCAGGAAGGAACACATGTTAAGACTCTGTATGGCCTGAAAGAGACTGCAATCTACTACCAACACTCAAAATTTGTTTCTAGAGAGACATTCCTAGGGCTACATGGGGAAGCTCTGCTCAGATTCCAGGCTGGAATTCTGTGGCCTTCCAGGCCACAAAATAAGCCTGATTTTCTGGACAGGCCTTAGGTAAAATAAGAAAAATAAGACAGAAAGGCAAAGGCAGGGATCTGAGAGTTAAAAAGAACAAAGCTGAGAAACAGAAGCAAGCTGCAAAATCCATACACCCGCATCCTTTTTGTGATGGAAAAGGCACTTGTTGATAAAGTCTTAAAATAAAGAATTTTCTTTGGTGAACATGAAAAAGCCTGTCTATATAATATTGCCTCTGGCACAGAATAGCTCTGTGTCCCTCAGTTACTCAAAGCAAACAGAAAAGGAACAACCCCATGTGAGGAACAGATCTGCTCCTCTAAGGAAGGCACAAGTGCTGTCACAACTGAAGGAGGTACCTGAATTCAGAATTGCAGATTTTCTCTCTGCCTCTGGATTTTTGCCTATCTGTAATGCACAGAGAATCATCCTACTGAAACAAGAGTTCAGGTCAGGAACCAGGAATCACAAGTCATCACAGCACATCAGCAAAACCATACAGCATACAGGTTGTTGTGCAAGCATTTTAACTGCAACAACATTGAGGCAGCAACAACAATCCTTGATTTTTCTATATCTTACTGTAAACCCTTCCAGAGAAATGGCCCTTTTGCACTCAGAATGCACAAAATCAGGAACATCAAAGCTAAGTCCTTATTCTATAACTAAATTAATAAAAGAATCCGTGATTCTCTGGAACTATCCCCAGGTATTATGCAATAGCTGAGGAAGATTCCCTGGCTAAGACTCAGTTACAGGCTTCAAAAAAATAGAGGGAAGCACAAAATGCTTAGGGCACCATCACTTTCTTTAACTGCACAGTTGTGTAGTATTTATCTTAGCAGGCTGTGTACAGGATTGGACAGCTTTTAGATATACCCATCTGCTGAGACCAGAGTTTTCTGTGCCAAGCTAATTCTTGCAATTGTTTCTTGCAAGACGGATTACAGCTAAAGTCACCTGAGGCATCATGCTCTTACTGTAAGGCCAGACACCACAGCAAGCTGTGATAATGCAGCCTCATGTCTGAGCTCATCCTAAAAAAAGCTGTGTAAATTCTGTAGATATTTAAGTTTGATATGTGGCACATGAAGAAATAGGGAGGCTCAGAGAGACTGATTTCTTGTTTGTTTGTTGTTTTGGTTTGTTTGGTTTTTTTCCCTAAAAATGATTACTTAACATTTAAAGCCATTATTATTGCCTTTAAGCAAATTAAAATGGGTGGCAGATACGGCCCAGTTATTTTAGAAGCAGATCCTCAGCTTGTGTAAATGATGCCATTACCATCCTCTGAAGTTATATCCCCTACACAGCTCGTCGTCCTCTCTGTGGGAGGAACTGAATAATTAAAACACAAGAGGGTTATATTAGCATATCACGAGCAAAGCTGTGGTGATTCTTAGATTTGTCTTCCCAGAGATATTTCCCAAATAGGAGCAGTTATTCAGGAATTACACCCATCCCTCTGGTGTAACTGGTGTGTCAGGAGCGGTGGGGGTGAAGCAGCAAAGTGCTCAGGACCTCGGCTCCCTCGAAACACCAGGCAAAAAAAGAGAGACAATGCTCCATAGAAAACACCCTGGTGGGGAAGAGCTATCAAGTTTCCCCCTGAACAGATGCTTTGCGGAGAAACCAAGCGCTGGATGCGGCGTTTATTGGCTCTGCTGCCCACACATCACCAGCTCCAGAGGAGGAGTTTGTTCCCACAGCTACCAAGTCGGACACGGGTGAAGAGCACGTGGGTCCCAACGGCCCTGGGGGGTTTGGGAGCCCCGAACACCAAAACCAGGAACATATCCCAGGTGATCTGTGTCCCCTTCCTTCTCCAGCCCTACAGCAAGGAACAAAACCTCAGTGCACCGCTGAAAATCCAGGAGAACCAGACCAGCAGTGTCTGGCAGAGGTAGGTGTGTGCCTGCTCCTGGGTGCCCTTACGTGCTTTCTTAACACCTGGGATTGTTTCAGCACTGAAATCTGTCTTCAGGAGATGGTGCTGCGTGTTCACCTGTAAACTCCTTAGCCTCTTTTCTCTGCGGGTAGAAGAAAATAATATATTTTTGGTGCTGCCCCTTTTTCCAGGAGGTGCAATAAACAGTCCTTTCCTGGAGCTGTTTTCCATCCTCTGCGTGTGATTTTTGCTGCTGACAACTCTGGAGTGTGATGCAGTCAGAACACTGGAGACCAGAGATCTGTTTTCAGCTGGTTACTTACATCTTTTCTTCCCTCAGTCTGAAGTAGTCCACTTAAAAACACTTTTCTTCCTTTGTCTTTAGGTTTGTCTTCTAGTACTAGGTAAATGGTGAGGGTTTTTTTCTCTTGTAAATTGAAATGGTGTGTTCTCCATTGGGGAATGGTTATGTGGTTTTTTTCTTTGTTGGGTATTTAATATATAAACATATATGTCAGTCTCCTGAGTTTGCTTTGACTTAAGCTCTGCAGCTCTGCTGATTTTGTTTTGGGCCCAGTTCCTGGAAACTCGTAACATGGGATGTCTGGGATGAGCTGTCGGCTGTTGAGTGATGTGAAGAAGAGGGACAGCCTGTTGACACCTGTGTGTTTGCTGCTGAAACCTAGATCCATTTTTAACCAAGCAGATTGGAATAGACAACATTTGTAGATGAGATCAAGGCAGACATTAGTATAAATCTCATCTTCAATGTTTCTTGTAGAAAAATGCTGGATCTGGAGACATGACAGGAAAGTGGTGCTGTGTATGATTTGCCACTTTATTGTTTGCCACAAAAACATCACGGGTGATGCTAACAATTGCTTATAAAAATAGCATAAGACTTCAAAAAGGAAAGAAATTCTCCCTCAATATCTTTCAGTTCCTCCTGCAGTATTAAAATTAGATGGGCAAAAGTCATATCTTATTACATAAAGTTGATTCTTCATATACTAGTAAGTAAGGACAGATGTGTTTCTTCACAGGTGCTGTGACAATGAGGGAGAATATCCAGGAATTTAGTTAGCACAGAGGTTTTATTTGTGATTAAAGAAATTTCTGTACCTGCTTTGTGTTACTAAACAACACATTCAACTGAATATGGAAGCCAACAGATTCTTAAGATGGGACAGGAAAGATGTGAACACAAAAATTAAGGAGATGGGTGCTAAAGGCACTCTGCATTTAAGGGTAATTTGCTCAGGGTAAGGTAAATAAGCTCAGGGTAATTTGATGCCAGGATAAAAGCTTCATCTTTGTCCACAGTGGCAATGAGTTCTTCCAGCTGGCAATGGAATTTCTACACAAATAACAGAATATAGTACTGACCTTTGATAATGAAGCTGCAGTGGTCCAGGATACTGCTTATCATTAGATTCAGAATCATTCATCATTGGAAAAGTGGTACTTGTGAAACTCAGTGATTTTATTGTTTTGGGTGATTTGGGGTGGTTGTTGGTTTGTTGTGGGTCTTTAGTAGTGCTTGGATTTAGTTATTTTTTTATATAATTGTGTCTCTAATATTTGAAAGTTTCTCCCAAAGAAGACTAATTAATGAGTTTGAAAATCAATGGCTAATTGAGAAGAAAGGGAATGACATTTCTCTTTGTAAATCTTTGATTTACTGATTCACTCAGACTCCCACAGATCAAACCAAAGTGTCACCTCACCACTGTGCTTATTCCAGCAGTGTGTACTCACAGATGCAGAGAGAAATGGTTGGGAAAAAGTGATAGTTTTGGTTAGTGCATCCCTCAGTGTCAAGGAGATTAGAATGTAAAGACTTACTGAATCTGAAGGATTCAGTAAGAAGAATCTTAAGGTGCTGGAGCAGGTCCAGGGGAGAACAATGAGGCTGGTGAAGGAACTGGAGGGAAAGTCTTGTAGGGATGGGCTGAGGGAGCTGGGGGTGTTTAGCCTGGAGAAGAGGAGACTCAGGGGGGATCTTCTCACTCTCTTCAACTTCCTGAAGGGAGGTTGTGGTCAGATGGGCTTGGGCTCTTTTTCCAGGCAACCAGCAACAAGACAAGAGGGTCTGGCCTGAAGCTGCTCCAGGGGAGATTTAGGTTGGATATCAGGAAGCACTTCCTCATGGGGAGGGTGATCAGACACTGGGATGGACTTCCCAGGGCAGTGGGGGAGGCACCATTCCTGGATGTGTTCAGAGAAAGGCTGGAGGTGGCACTTAGTGCCGTGGCCTGGCTGATGTGGGGGTGTTGGTCTTAGGCTGGACATGATGATCTTAAAGGTCTTTTCTAGCCTTGGTGATGCTGTGATTAATACCAATGTAGAGGGGCAGCATAACAAGTGCAATGCACAGGCACAGGGGCTTGTTGCATTGTGGGGAAAAAAGTGCTGTGTGGACAAAAATCAACAGTGTGTGCTGTGATCAGGTCCCTGGTGTGTCAGACTCCTGCTGTGCACACACAACCGTGCTGGTGCAAAATGACAGGGACCTGCTCTCCTTGCTGATCCCATGGTCACGTTCTCCTCTGAACACTGTGGTCTACCCCACCCAGTGTGCAACCCCAAGAATTGGCTGGGTTTGTTTTTCTTAGAAAAGATGATGCCTAGGTTTGACTGTCAATAGGTAGGGACTGAGAGGCACTATTACTAATTTTGTCCAGGTGACTTTATTCTCAGCATTTAAATCTATCTGCCTTTCAGGTGCTGCTAGCCCATTTCTCAGCAACCAGAATGTTTTAGCTGCTTCCATTCTCAGCACAGCAGTGGAAAACTCAGCCTCTTCTAGTAGCAGGGCACCCAATAGTGTCTTCTGTTCCAAAAGTAAAATACAAACTGATTCTGAGAAGAAAAAAACAACAACCATGAGTGGTGCAGGCAAAGGACACATGGAAAAGGTTCTGGAAGAACACTTGCAGAAAGGTGGGGATGTGCAGAAGAGGCTGAATGAAGTGAGTTGCAAATTTGGGGCAGCTTCCTAAGTATGGGTGAGCTTTTGTTGACTTTGTCTTTGCTGAGGCTCTGGACAGTTTCCCCAGAGCTATTTTGAGCAGTCTCTCTTGGCTGCTTTACTTGCTTTACTGCTTGTGCTTGGTTGTCATGATTCCCATGTGTCACTGACAGACAGAAACAGGCAGTGGGTGATAATGTTGGCACGATCCCTGTAACCATGGTCCATGCATAGTCAGCCCACTGCAGAACAGTGTGACTAGCCAGTTAACTAAGAAATACATTTTTTAAAAAAAGATAAAAGAGACAAACCCAGCCTTTTATTTCCCATACCCATGCTGCTCTCAGGCTCAGGTATTTTTAGCTTATGTATTTAGCATTTTGGTTGGTTTAGCTTGGTTTTTTGGTTATTTCTCCTTTAGACCACTGAGCTACGTGAGCAACAGAAAAACAAGTTAAGACTGATCATTGCTGATTTGCAGACCAAACTGATGGAAGTGCAATTGGAAAAAGATGCACTTCAGGATTCCAGGTATGAAGGCCAAGACAGATGTCTTATGGAGAGTGTGTATCTGGGCCTTAAGAAGCACACCAGGTGTCCTGAGAAACTTGCCTTCAGGAACGGAGACAGTGAGACGGTGGCACCTTGGTTTAGAAAACTGCTTATTTAGTTGTAAAAACCAGCAGTTAATCAACCTAAGTATTACACCTATTAGTCAGGATAAAATTCCGTGTTGTGAATCCTGGTTTTCAGATGATCCCTTTGGTTTCCACATTCAGGCAAAAGGAATCCCAGAGCCAAGAGAATGTAAAAATACAGCTACAAAATACCATTCAAGGGCTGGAAGCTGCCAACCAGCTGCGGGAGGAGAGGCTGAGGGAGGCTGACAGCCAAACTGAGCATCTGCAAAAGGTGGTGCACAACCACGAGGGAGCACTGGAACTACGTGGCATCCTGCTGGACTGCAAAGACAGCACAGGCAAGAACCTCAGTGAGCATGAGAAGAGGACTGGGCTGCACATCCACAGCCTGAGCACAGCATTCGCTGACATCCTGCAGGATTTAGACTCAGAGGTGTCAAGCCTTAAAGAAAGGGTTGTCCTGGTATGTGAAGAAAGTGCTACTTTTCCTTCCAACACTGGGTTCTGCTTTTCAAAGAGTATTTTTGAAAACTCCATGAGCTCCTGTCTCAACTGGCCTGAGGAAACGGGTGTAGCATAAAGAAGTACAAATGCTACTCTGCAGTTAAGGTGCTGGGGTGCCAGCCTTTTACACTGTCCATAGCTTAAGATGGGGTTTATTCCTGGGATTTAAACTGTATTATGCACATGTTCACAGTTCATGGTGGGAGGTAAAAAGGGAGGAAATGACACTTTGAAAACCGCTGTTCAGACTTTCTTCTCTTTACGGGTTAGCACTGTCATCTGTTTGCAATAGGTGGAAGAAGAGCTTGAGTCATTGAAAAAAGATTCATGGACCCAAAAAGAACTTCTGCTTCAGCAACATCAAAATAGGTACCTCTTCTCCATTTATTTATTAATAAAAAACAGATGTTTTTTCACATGCCACAGGTATGTTGATGATATTAGGGAGGTGGAAGTGGTTGGGGGGCAGCAAGCAATGTTTTTGAGGGCTTAATTGTTCCATTCCAGACATTCATTTGCTCTTTACTCTTTTCCTTACATGCCAACAATTTCCTGTTTTATTCAGTGCCTTAAAAAATATTATTTGAAAGAATCTGCACACCTTACTTCTGTGAAGTGTGATTGGCCACTTAAAGTGGAATTCTGGAATTTGTTGGAAGACTAGTTCCACCACTAAAAGATTGGAAGTAATCCCTTTAGTGGTCACATCAGCTTTTTATTACTAATTTCACTACAAGCTTTGTCCTCCCTTGCTCAACAAGCCTTAAATTCACCTGAATTATGCAGTAACTAAATAAAAGGCTCAGTAACTACGTACATAAAATAACATAAACATGATTACATTTCTGAATACAGAAAAATACCTCCCCAGTGGAGAAGGTGTTGTTTGCCAAGACTGAAATTATAAACCAGGATTGAGTAGTTAATGGGTGAGCAGGAACAGGAGGTGGCAGCACTAACTGATAAAGCTGACAGTGCACACAGCTGTGCAAATTACCCAAAGCCAGTTGGAGATAATTCAGTATGTTTTTTTGATTGTAGCATTAAAAATGTTAAGAATAACCTTAATTTGAGAGAAAGTTTATCCTGCTAATGCACACTGCTCTCTGCCCAGTGATTTTGGTTTCTTAGTGTCTTTGTTTAAAGAGGTGAGCAGTCCTTGCATAAATTATGGCATGCAGAAAAAAAGGGAAAAGATAAACATGAGGCCAGGCTGTATGAAGGGGATGCAAAACAGCCATGCATGAGGCAGACTGAGGGGTGGGAGCCTCGGGCTGGTTCTCAGGCTGATGTAGAGGCCAGCAGAGTCTGTGGAAGTTCCAACTGGCTCAAACCTTCAGTTCAGTTCTTGCCACCAGCTTCTGGAGTGATGAATCTGTCACCTGAGTTGTGAACAGCTCCACGGCTGGAGCTACAGGATGCAAGAGGGTGTAAGCTGAGAGCTGTTGTAGGTGGATATAAAGTTAATTTCCAGCAGCATTATCAGTTGAATCCCAAACAAGAACAGGCAAACAGTTGGGTTATTTACAAGTAGTAACGAACAGTAATTTTAAAGGGCAATTTTCATTTGGGATTAATAGGTATGTGGGTATGGTTGGCTTCGGTAGCAATAGAGTGAGAATAAAAAGATACTAATTCTTCCCAGCCACCTGATGTGTCAGAAATCAGTGCTCAGTTTAAAAAGGGAGGCCATAGCATGCAATGCTGCAAAATTGAAGAGGAGATTTAAACACCATTGTGCATTAATATCTGACTGAATTAGTCGAGACCAAATATCTGATAGCAAAATGCTTCTCAGTTCTGCTTGTAGAATGGTTGGGGTGCATTTGAAGGCAGACAGCTTTCTTGGAACTTGCTTGGGAATAAATGAGTTATCTTCAGGAATAAAAAGCATCAAGATTTCGAGTTACATCATATTGTGTGAGCACAGAAAGCAAATGTAACCAGTAGGAAGGTGTAATATTTATGTGATCCCACTGCAAATGTTAATGCACTTCAGTGTTGTACACATTCACTGTCATGGAAACAACCACAATTGTTTCATGCTTTCATGGTTCTTACAGTTTCTCATTTCTCCACCTAAAACTTTTCTTAGAGAACAAGCAAGAGACCAAAACTCAGTGTGTGCACATCAGCTTAGGCACCTGGAATCTACAGCTTCTCAGCTGCCTTCTGAGTTACAAGAAGCTAAGAGGATGTATGAAGACAAGGTGTGTATGGATTTGTGTGTTAGCATTAGTGCCAGTGAGACTGGATATGTGGATATCTGAAATGTCCTGGATACATGAGCAAAGTCTTTTGCCAAGGGAACACTTCAGGAGAACTGTGTGGACAATAAGATAAATTACATTATCCTTAACTTTTATTTGTTTGTATTATTTTTAAGGACAAGTTATCTTCCTGCAAGACAAAATAGCTATGTGTAACTTAGTGAACACAAGCCAGTTTTGCTGGGTGTGTTGGGAACATACCATAAATGGTGCCTTCTGGAAATACATAAAATGATTCTGTTCTACAAACATCACTTGCACATGTAGGATGAGAACAGTGGTTCACTATACCACTAGAGAATGTATCAGCAAAAAAGTAGCTTCTTGTTTAAGTCGTTACTGCCCAAAAAAAGGGCTTTGCTAATTTTGCTAACCTTGGCAAGTGGAAGAAAACAGAGATTAGAGCAGTGTTTGAGAAGCATCCAGGTGCTCAGACATGTCCTGTGGTGAGTTAAGACTCTAATTTCTTTAGCTTCTTACCAGCAGGATATAATAGGCAAAAAAGAGAGGTTGGCAAGCACCTGTCTATTCAGATAATTTCTTAATCCATTAGAAAACATAAGTTTTGGCAAACTTTTTTTAACCTCCCTTCTCCCCAAAGACCAGTTTTTTCCAGGTAGAACAGCAGGGAATTACTGCAGACAAATGGAGAGAACATCTCATGGTTGTACCACAGAACCTCTGCTGTGTCACTAACTACAGCATTTTATATCTTGTTTCTGTATCATGCCTGCTATATCTTTCACTTCCTTCACTGCTTTGGATTCCTGGTTTATAAACAAATGGAAAATCTTTCCATGATTTCTTCTTTCTGGTGAAATATAATTAATATTTTCCTTAGGAAACAGCTGCTCTCCACTGACTTTAAAAATCAGTGGAGCTGACCCATCCTGAAATGCTTGATGGTTCCAAATCCATCTTAGATTACAAGTCATGAGGATTTAGGCATCCCTCTCCTACGTACTGTTGGAAAGTTCAAGTCACAGAAGTGCCATGAAGTTTGGCAGAGCTGATAGTCTCTGATCCCAAAAGGTCTGAGGATGGAATGGCAGGGATGTGCAGCCCAAGCCTGGGGAGCCATGGTGTACGTGTACTTGCTCTGTAAAAAGCAGAGCAGGAAGAACAGGGTGCTTCATCTTTTCTGTAGGTTTCCCCTTTTGTTGAGTCCATTTCAGGTATAAAAACTTACACTGTTCAGCTCCAGAAGTGACTTTTCCCAGCATGGTAACAACTACGGAGAGTTTGTAAATTAATCTCCGTGACAGTATTTCATCCTGAAGGAAGAGTACAACATGTAGGGTGTTCATCTTAGGTCTGTTTACCTGAGTTATTTTGATTTCTATCATGCAGTGCAGAGCATAAGGTCATGTCACACACACAGCTGTAACTGCAGCATATATTCCCTTCCATAATATTTACCTCATAACACGTGTTAAACTGGAAACTGGGAGGCAGTTTAAGGCTGTTTTCACAGGCTACCAACTGCAGAAAATGCTGGGTTTCTATATATGTAAAAGAACATAGTATTTGGTCCAATAAAAATTGCTTTTTCAATGGGAAGTGTAATACACAGAGTTGCTAAGGTTGACTTCAGTGGGAGACAAGCTGATAGCTGGAGATCATTTGATCTCAGGCTGTTATGTGGAATCATTCCTGGGAAGGTGTGACAGAGAATCTAAATAAAGCTTTTACTGTATGCCTCTTTTCTCCAGCAAGCATTTCTCTGCAGCTTCTCTGGCAGGGAAACATCCTAGCAATGAAAATTTTCAAGGGAGTATGTGAAAATTAAGCCAGTGTAAGTTGTTGATATGAGGTAGTTTCAGCAGTCAGAAAACCTGATGCTCAACTTAGTGGATATAAATGGAAATACCTGAGTGCTCTGTTTGGCTATGCCTATATAGATACAACTCTGAGTACACTTAGGGAGTAACTCTGAGCCAGAACGTGACACGGACTTCTTTAGAGTAGGACTTGGGATTAAACTAGAAGAAATCCAATGTACTATTTAAAATAAAATACATTAACATAATTTTTAATGAATATTTGTCTTTATTCTAGGTCAAAGATCTTGAGAAGCAGTTGCACCTAGCTTGTTCTGAGATAGCAGAGGCTGAGACAGAAGAGGATCAATACAGCCAGGAATCTGGAAATTTGAATAACCAGTTTCATCAATTGATGGTAAAAACAAGTGATTAGGTTGAAAAAAATCTTGCTTTATAAAAGCCTGTCCCTCCTGATGGTATTCAGATTTGCATATTGCTTGTTTCCCAAGTGGAGCAGCCTCCTTATAATGAAGTTTGAGGATTGTTTTTTACTAGGAATTGGAATTAGCTGTGAAGGAAGTTTCCCAAAGACCTATTCCATTAGCAAGGCAGGACATTCAGAATTAAAATTAACTTCATAATAAATTTAAAGCCCTTGAATCCAATGCAAATCATATGAAAGATGCTTAGCCACCTTCACTTAAACTTCACAGTTGAGGTCTCTCTGTGAAGGAACCTTGGTCCCTTGTCAGATATTTTGCCAGACACATTTGGGATTTTCCTGACAGCACTAAACATTCCTTTGTAACTGATTGAGAATATTCACCAATTGAACATACAGGAAAAAATATTATGCCACATAGGGTTGGTTTCATCACAGCTGGCTTCATCTAATATAATTAGCTTTGCTTTTCTTCTTACAGAAGATTATTCCTTAATAACTGAATTTTGGGATATTAGTTTGTATGGTTTCATTAGGTTTGTTTGCCAGTTAGTGTCAAAGTCCTTCTGAGGGAGGTGTTGAAATAATAACATTCTGTGTGATGTTCTCCTAGTCAAGAATGTGCTGGGTGTAAATCTTTTCCCAGAAATCGTACATAGCCACAGAGAAGAGTGGAGTGAGAATAATTATTGCATAATTGAAAGAGAGGAATCTGATTTTAGGATTCCTTTGGTTTCAACGTCTTCAGCTCAGGTTTATAATCAGTCATTCTCTGAGCTTCCTACCTAGTTCTCTTCTTCAGCTTTAATAGTCTGCAGATAGTTAACAACAGCAAAAGGTATGATGAGCAGAAGTGCCTATTGATCACTCAGTTTACATTTACAATTTTTGAAATGAGTAGCTCTGAAATGTGTATGTCAGTGTTTTTTATATTATTTGACATTTCAATTTATCATGTATAATTTCAATGACACAGTTTTAGGATTGTGTCTGAGGTGGAAAAGGTTTAAGCTCTGACAAATGTGATGAATTACTGCATGAAATGAAACAAGCAATAAACTCTTAGTGGCAAAATGGGTATTTGTGAAGAGCAGCTTTCATTGACATGTGAGGTAGTGCTTGGATATGACGATATTTTCATTTTGTAGCTTATACTGACTTTAGATAGATAAAAATGACATTAAAGACTTCACCTTTGAGGTATTACATGCTTCAAAATAATTCCAGCAGCAGTATGAAAGGTACTGCTTTTTTCAGAGCAAAATGTGTAGGGGGTGTCAAACTGTCCCAGCTGATATTCCCAGCTGATTTACACTTCTGCCAAGTGCAAATCCAGGCCACAGTCCACATGAAGATATGTAACCATGTAACTGAATGTTGCTGATATTAAGAGAAAGAACAAATAAAGCCCTAATGGGGTTCAAGGAGGGAGATGACTTTCATTTCTTGTAGACTGAACCCAAATGGGGTTCAAGGAGGGAAGTGACTTTCATTTCTTGTAGACTGAACTTCAAGAAAAAGAGAGAGAGCCAAGTCTAGAAAAAGAGCAGAACAAGCGATTTTGGGATGGGCACACAGACAACAGCATCATCATTGCTTCTCTGAGGAGGGAGCTGGACAGCAAAGCTGTGCAGTTGCAGCAAGTGGAAAACACAGTGAAAGCAACCAGGACTCCATGGCACAGAGCAAGGGAGCACCAGGTGGGTTAGCAAGTGCAGCAGGATGGAGTTCAGGGCAGAAGGTGCAGGGGCTGGGGGCTGTGCTTCAGATCAAGATACTGTCACTCTGGTGACTGGAGTTGGAGCCCTCTGGAGCTCATGTACCAAAATTTTCCTCCCAAAGACGCAGACAAAATTTGCATTATTTTTTCTATTCATCTGACCTGCCAAGCTTTCTTTCCTCTTTACCAATGAGGAAGTAGAAGCATTATTTTTCATTTTGATTTTTGACATGCAAGCCTTAGGAGAAGGTAAATGTTCTGCTGATAGTGTCGTTTGATTTTGACTGTAAACATCCAAACCAACCTTTTGTACATGTCCAGAAAATGTGATGCTGCCACATCTAACAAACTAACTATTCAAGGTAGTACTTTTGCTAGTGAGTATTCTGTAGGAATAATTAGTAGAATCAAGGCATTCATGATGCCTAACTTTATGTAGTGCTTAATGAAATCATAGTGAAAAGTTTGTGTTTATATCCTTAAGCTGAATGCAGTCCTATGTCAGAAGAGTGACTTCTGACAAAGTAGATTCCTAGACACTGACTGGTACTACACTCCCCTTTCTTCAAGATTTCAGCCCCTCAAAAATGAGCTGGAATGAGGTGACCCACTTGGCATCATGTGTCAAGATCCTGAGTCACAGTATTCTGTGGTTTATGGGGTGCACATTGGTGCCTGCAGGAATTAAATCAATAATCAATTATTCATGCACATTTTTTTCCCCAATTTACGGTGCAGTCAGTTGAGTTTTAGCACTGAATGTTCTTTAGACCAAACTACTCAATGTTATACTAACATTGTTGATTTATATATTTTTTTTTTTACTTTAGTTTAACATTTTTAAATTTTCTATTATTAAAAAGGCAGTACTCTAAGCAACACTTACTTTATTTAAGGTGGAAAAAGAGGGAGGAAAACCAGGATAATCACAAAGTCATTGTAGAGTAGACCATGCTGATCTAGTTTCCTTACAAAACTAAAATACTTAAGTTGAACTGTAGAATACCAGAAATGTGACAAAAAATACTACAGGTAGGCATAAACATTTATCTTGATCTGTCACTGAATTGCTATTACTCAGGTGGCTGCAATTCAGCAAAGAAATGAGAGCATTGGAAGAATCTCCTCCTTGACTGTCCAACTGGAGTCAGCCAAGGAAACACTCCGCAGAGGTAAAGACCTTGCAGCCAAACAGATGGATTTGGAGACTGCTGAGAAACCAGTGTCAAACCAGACAGCCTGTCTGCAGGGGAAAGAGAGAACCCTTGAGGTGACCAGAAAGGAAACCAAGAAGCTGCATTCCCAGCTTGGCAGGAGGGTACAGGAGCTTCAGCACCTACAGACTGAAGAGGACGGTTTGCACAGTGTGCAGTCAGAGTGTGAAACACTGAAGCTGCAGCTGCTGGAGAAGGAAAAGGTTATTGAGATCTTCCAGAAGCAAATAGGTGAGATGACCCAGGTTGTGGGCCATCATAGCCAAACTGCTGGAGCAATGGAAGCTGAGAAATCTCAGCTTATAAAAGAAATAAACGAGTGGAAACTTAAAGCAGAAGGACTTAAGGTAATGCTGTACTAAGGATTCTGAAGGACATTAAATGTTTTCTGGTTTTAAATCTGTACCTCAGTGTGCAAATACTGTGGTTTTAAAGCAGGTCAGACAATGCACCTTGAATCCCAAGAGACCTAGGAGAGTTAGTAGGCAGAGAAGAGTAATATTGCCACATTACCACCAAAATGAGTTATTCACTGGTGCAAAGCAGTTGCCAAAACATTTGTGAAAGCTGGAAAATAACGTGCTGTCCTCAGTGATACAGTTGTGCACACCAGTAACAGAAGCAGAAATACCAAGTGTTACTGAGACATAACAGGCAGTGAGCACTCAGAATTCCCAGCTAACCACTTAGGGACTGGTTATTTCTCAGACAACCATTACAAGATATGGTAGTCTCATGCAGGTCAGCATCTCCAGAAAAAAATCACTCCAAATAGGGAATGTCATCCTTTTCTGTGAGAGGTGAGCATTAGAAGTGAATATAGAGGTGGACAGGAGGATAGAAATAATTTTCGTATACACCTAAAAACGTTAAACCTACTGTGCAGGCATCACGTTGGATTTTCTTGCACCCTTTTGGCCTAGATTAGCAATTCTCACAAAAATAATTTGTCTGGTTTACTCTGTTTTTCTTCCCCACCCTGTTCTCCAACAACTGAGATTTAAAGTAATCATGATGTCTGCACATCTTTGTGGTTGTTTTGTATAATTATGTATATTACACATAATTCCTTTTGTGGCTTTTTTTTTTTTATGTAAATAGATTGCAAAGGATGAGAAAGAAGCCAGAATACATGAAATGGAAGCCAGGCTGAATGAGCTGGAACTGGAAAAGTTTAAACTGGTAAACATCTGCAGCAAGAGGCTCCGTGCACTTCATGAAATGAAACTGGAAAAAGCCCAGCTAATGAAGGAGCTCCAGGCAGGTCGGAGCGAGTTAGCTGGCCTTGCAGGTAGGGAGCCTCAGCTGAACTCAGCCCTGGTAGCTGCTAAATTGAGCTGGTGTTAAAAATAGAAGAGCAGCTTTTGCTTGCTGAATGCAGAGACGGCTGCTGGTGCAGCAGGAGGTGCCCGGCCAGCAAGTGATGGTCAGATTGCTTCTGAAAGCCTAGCCACGGTTTGGGATTCTGGCACAGAATGGTGAGACTAAAATCTGTATGGCTCACTACTCTGAGCAAAAACACATGAACCTTCTGACTCTGGAGACCAACGGATCAGATCTAGAACATCATAAAATAGAAACTTGATCGCTCCTTCCGGAGTGTTACTAAAGAGCATCTGTGGTCAAATTACAGTGGAACCTGTGTTTCTGTTTTGTTGCAGCTTTGCTGCAATGTTATTTAAAGGTTTATACTCCAAGCACTATTTTCACAGCTGATGTGTGGGGAAGTTGGTTGAGATAATATTTAAAAATAAGGAGCTGGACCTGAGGCAACCACCAAAATTTGGGGAGATCCTCTGAAATCTGCACTGCAGGCAGCCAGATCATACTGTTCATGGGCTTGGCTCTGTGCACACCCCTGTGCTCTCATAAAATACCCATTGGTAACATTTCTTTCTTCACAACTCAGGTATAATTCTAAACTCATTAAATTTTGTAGCAATGAAGGAGATACTGTGATATCACAAAGAGATGTGATTTAAGGAGGGCAGGCAACAGATCAGTAATCTTAGTCCAGAAGAATGATGGTTTTTGTCACTAGAATTTCAATCTTTACTTACTCTCACCAGAGGGATTTGAAGATTTGCAGAGGGATTACCAGGGTAAAATCAAGGAGATGGAAAATACTGCAAACAGGTTGAAAATGCAGTTGAAATGTGCCCAAGGAGAACTGGAACAAACCAGAACTGCTCTAAAGACTATGGAGGGATCTGATGGCCATGGTAAATATGGATTGAACTTCCCAAAAATCACACACATTTGTCTTTTTTATAAGAGAATCTTTGTAAGTATTGTTCCCTCAGCAGATGTTGCAATTATGTTGCAGATATTTTCTGAGATGAATAAACAATAGTGTAGATGACAATGTATTTTTATTTTGCTGTTTACTACATACTGTAAAACTTAAACTGTGAGTTGAGTTTTCTCAGGTGATCTTCATGCAGTTTTCCAGGGAATGCTGTTTTCCTTGTGTGTGGTGGGTCTGGTACCACTGCCCTGGACAAAACCAGCTGCTTCTAATGGGTGGTTTGCACACATGAGTGACCATGGGATCTTGGTTCAACTTACTTAGTCTGACATATTGCTGATTAACTGACTTCCAGAGTCTTTTGTTGGAACTCACAACGCAGAACCAATGTTGTTCATTGAGAATTAACCTTGTCTTTTACAGCTCTGAAAGTTGCAGTGGGAATGCAGAAGAAGATCACAGCCAAGAGAGGACAGATAGATGCATTACAGAGCAAGATAAAATTCTTGGAAGAGGCAATGACAAATGCAGCTAAGGTCACAAGAGCTCCTTGTAAAAGTATTTAACTGTATCTAGAGCAATTTTTCTTTGGAGAAATGCATGACCAAGAGGACAACTGGCCCAAGAAGGATGGAAGAGAATTTTACTTATTATAACAGGCACCTTCCCTGTCATCCTGCCAGCATGTGGAACCTGTGTTTCTGTTTTGTTGCAGCTTTGCTGCAATGTTATTTAAAGGTTTATACTCCAAGCACTATTTTCACAGCTGATGTGTGGGGAAGTTGGTTGAGATAATATTTAAAAATAAGGAGCTGGACCTGAGGCAACCACCAAAATTTGGGGAGATCCTCTGAAATCTGCACTGCAGGCAGCCAGATCATACTGTTCATGGGCTTGGCTCTGTGCACACCCCTGTGCTCTCATAAAATACCCATTGGTAACATTTCTTTCTTCACAACTCAGGTATAATTCTAAACTCATTAAATTTTGTAGCAATGAAGGAGATACTGTGATATCACAAAGAGATGTGATTTAAGGAGGGCAGGCAACAGATCAGTAATCTTAGTCCAGAAGAATGATGGTTTTTGTCACTAGAATTTCAATCTTTACTTACTCTCACCAGAGGGATTTGAAGATTTGCAGAGGGATTACCAGGGTAAAATCAAGGAGATGGAAAATACTGCAAACAGGTTGAAAATGCAGTTGAAATGTGCCCAAGGAGAACTGGAACAAACCAGAACTGCTCTAAAGACTATGGAGGGATCTGATGGCCATGGTAAATATGGATTGAACTTCCCAAAAATCACACACATTTGTCTTTTTTATAAGAGAATCTTTGTAAGTATTGTTCCCTCAGCAGATGTTGCAATTATGTTGCAGATATTTTCTGAGATGAATAAACAATAGTGTAGATGACAATGTATTTTTATTTTGCTGTTTACTACATACTGTAAAACTTAAACTGTGAGTTGAGTTTTCTCAGGTGATCTTCATGCAGTTTTCCAGGGAATGCTGTTTTCCTTGTGTGTGGTGGGTCTGGTACCACTGCCCTGGACAAAACCAGCTGCTTCTAATGGGTGGTTTGCACACATGAGTGACCATGGGATCTTGGTTCAACTTACTTAGTCTGACATATTGCTGATTAACTGACTTCCAGAGTCTTTTGTTGGAACTCACAACGCAGAACCAATGTTGTTCATTGAGAATTAACCTTGTCTTTTACAGCTCTGAAAGTTGCAGTGGGAATGCAGAAGAAGATCACAGCCAAGAGAGGACAGATAGATGCATTACAGAGCAAGATAAAATTCTTGGAAGAGGCAATGACAAATGCAGCTAAGGTCACAAGAGCTCCTTGTAAAAGTATTTAACTGTATCTAGAGCAATTTTTCTTTGGAGAAATGCATGACCAAGAGGACAACTGGCCCAAGAAGGATGGAAGAGAATTTTACTTATTATAACAGGCACCTTCCCTGTCATCCTGCCAGCATGTCCCAGCCAGTATCTCCTCCACGCAAATTAGCCTTCTCCTTGGAGGCAGGTTTCAATTCGTATTTGTGCTCTGTGAAGGAACAGTACTAGATCCAATGAGAATCAAGGTCTAACATATCAGTTCTTTTGAAAAATATCAACTGGTGTGTTTTGTATCCTTCTGAATTTGTCCCACGTTGCTTCCCCGCTTCGTGTTCTGAGGCAGTTTTTTTACTCTTGTGGTAGTAAACTCTGTATGTCAAGGTCTGTCTAGCCTCTTGAGGTCTTGCTGGCTTTTTCTGTGACAAATCATTCAGTTACCAATAGCTGGAGCTTAATTAATTTAGAGGGACAAGGCCTGTAGGAATGTCTTTTATTAACGTCATTGTTAAGAGAGAGAAAACACTAGCAAGCTTTTGGGCACCCATACCCTTATTTGGAACTCTAAACCAGCAGCCTTAAAGCTATGTACAGGCTGGAAACAAGGGCTCTGAGTTTAATTTGATTATGCTAATTGGCTAGGCAGCATTATGAAAGATGACTAATTTTTAAGAAGCAAAGAGGTGTTAACAAGGGGAAAGGAAGTATTGTCATGAAGCATTTGTAGCAGAAAAAGGAAGGCCTGTAATTAACATCTCTGAATGCATTAGTGAAAGACAGGGCATAGGGAAAATCATGGAGTAATGTAAAGCCAGTATCTTGTTATAGAGCACACAGTTTGTATTACCCAATAGATCTAGTCCAGTCTCTAACTTACTCATGTATTTATTAGAGGATAAGATTTGTCTTTGCCTTATTTATAACCATAGACTATTATGGCTGCAGTGAGACTACTACTGTATGGTACACTTGGAACAGTAGTTGTTAGAAGAAGTTATCACTAGTATTAGCAACCCATCCCAGCTGCTAGTTTTGGGTGAGAAATGAAATGTGACATCCACAATACAAATCTACAGAAGCAAAACAAAAAGTACTGGGTGTGAACAGCAGCAAAGGTGGGAGATCTTGTCTTCCAGTGAAAGAAATGTACATCCAAGTGGGGAAAAAAAGTTGCAAGAGCAGTGAGACAGTTTAATTTTTCATTTGTGGGGGCCCTGAGATGTCTTCCACTTGAATGGTTCCAGAGCACATGTTAAAATTCTGAAAATATATGAAATTGCCACTCTTGCATCCAGTTCAGTCACTAAAAGGGTGATGTCTGAGCGCACCTAATGAGTACTAAAAAGTGTTTTGAGAATTGAGTGCTCCTTATGATAAAAGATTGGACTAAAAGAGATGCCCTGTCACAGAGGGCATGCTGTCTCTACCCATTTATTCCCCTTAGCTGTTCTTGCTTACTCAGCTTGGCTGATGTTTCTCCTCAGGAGCTGCAGGTCCCAGGCTCTGCTTTAGGCAGGCAGCTGCACGTGGTGCCTCTTCCCTCCCTGCACTCTGCTGTCCTGCCACCTCCCCTCACCTGGGCCAGCTGTGCCTCTCAGGTGAGTACCTACCTCAGAATGGGAAGCTGCATGGGCAACAGGGATGTTCCAGAGATGAAAAATAACACGGAATCTCTAAATGGGAGAGCATCTCATTTAGTAGTATCCAAGTGTGAATTCTTGCCACCAGAGGTGAAATTATTTTCTGTAGCTTCTCATCCATTATGCTCTTTCAGATTTCTTTTTTTTTTTTTTATATCTTGCCTCTGTCACCTATAACATTTATGAACTATTAAAATTTAAGGTATTGATCTGCAAACACTTCAGTTTTAACTTTTGGGGTGTTTTTCCCAGTTTCTTACTTGCAGTAAATTGCTTACGTTTGACAGGGAAAATAAACTTGTACATAGTTCCTGATAACTTGCATCATCTGACTGACCTGTGGTAATGTTTCCTACTTACACCTATTCTCTAAGCTGGCCTTCCTTGATTTTGTCCAGTTTTATCCTAAAAGACACATCATTGTCCTTCCTTCCTTGGCTTTTTCTACATATATATATGTAAATTAGATGCTAATGTCGGTCTAGTTTTTCATCACAGAAAACATCAACTCAAATCTCTGTGACAAAAAAAAAAGCTTTTGGTATTTTCTGTATGAATTTTGTATAGTTCTCCAAAAGAGAACTGATGTATCTCCCACATAAATTGGCAGAGGTCTTATTTTATCTCAAAATCTGTGGGAGACTGCAAGTTAGTGCAGGTATTTTTCAGTAATATTTTCAGGTTTACTTTTTGAGGTGGTGACAGAAATTCACATCAAGGAACAAAGGGTAGTTAATTATGTGAAACCCCTGCAGCATCAGGCACTCCCATTCTCTTCTCTTTTGAGTTAATCAGTTTATACTTCTGAGGATAGAGAAGGAAAAATGACTTATTTTTAATGTAATACCATGGTAAGGATTTCACAGGTTGTAGGACAACTTGACTCAAGGTCTACTTGAATCTTCGTGGTTCCTGCATGACTAGTTACTGTGCAAAATGAAGCAGCTCCAGCTCTTGAGCTGGTGACCCTACCTGGTCAACAGCCTCGTTTCTTAGCCAGAGTGTAGGAAGGAGGGATTTTGTCTGACTCAGAATCACATTGACCCATTATCAAGCTGGGGACTTGTTCTCCTTACAAGCTCTGCTGAAATTAGTGAGTTCCCATTGGATATGACCAATGGAAACATATCAGCAAGATGTTTCTAGCCAGTTCCATCCATAAGTGGAGAGTAGGTCAGAAGGGGCAGTGCTTTGAAAATGGAGGAAGTGCTGAGTAGTCTGAAAAATCCACTGCTTCACAGAAAGAATTCTTCTTTGAACCAAGCCTTTGCCTCAAGTCCTGATCAGTAAAATGAGAAAAATATTGCATTTCATCTCAGGGTATGGCTGTGACAATGAAGTGGTTTATAGTTGCAGACAACTCAGCCTTTACAGAAGTGAGTGCCTATAAAACACCCTGATATTCTAGTATTTCTGTCTTCAGAGCTGAGCTTGTTTATTGTGTCATCATGCCTGGGTTCACAGGATAAAAAGGAGAAAAAAGAGTTGTCACATAAACAGATTATTAGTTCTGAGTGCTGAAAAAGGTAATGGTAGTACTGGGTGGGGAGGAAGCTTTCATAATTAAAGGCTTATTTTAGTGCTTTTGACCTTGAAACAGCAGTTATAACCTTTTTACAATGTTGATTCAGAACACAGACATCAGCTGTGTTCTCCCTCAACCATATTTAGCTGTTTTGCACGTTTCTATCAGATAACTGTCCAGATAAAGAGTGGAATCATAGAGTATTTTGCTAGTCTTCAAGTTACTATGATCTAGCCCCCACCAATTCTTAACTAAGACTAAAACTACAAAAACCCCACCCTTTCTAACTTAGAAAACAAGAGTAGAAGTGAGAAAGACAAGTGCCTTGGGATGAGTAAAGGCACAAATTGAAAAAGAGAGTGCCTTTCTAAAAATGTTTAATGATTTTATTTCAGATGCCTCCCAAGCCAGGCATGTGGAAGGAGGAACCATTGCAGGACCTAAAGAGGATTGTTCAAGAATTAACAAGCTTAGACAATGACATTACCATTGCAGATCTTGGCAGAGATGACAGCAGTGGTGGGAGAAAATCACCTTTAGCAGCCATGAGGAGCAGAGTGTAAGAATAGTATTATACTGATATTTATGCTGTGTGTCCCTCAACACTCATACCCAAAATGAGTCTAGCTGCTTTTTGGAAGTTAATCAATGATCCCTTTCCATTCTCTCATCAAATACCACTGTACTCTAAGAATTTATACTGCCTGAAAAAAGACAAACCTGGAAAAGACAAGAGTTTATGTTATGCTAGTCACAGAATCATAGAATGGTTAAGGTTGGAAGGGATCTTAAAGATCATTAGTCATCTGATGCTGTTAGCTGAAATATGGGCTAAAAAGCACCTAATAATTGGAACCTGGTCTGAAAAGAAGCTAAATAGAAGCACTGTGAGTCACCAGAAGGAAGACTGCAATGGCTTTTATTCTCTAAAGCAGAAGCTTAGTGTCTTTTTTCCATCTTCATGATTACCTTCATCTTCATCTTTTCCATCTTCCTGATTTATTCATAACAAATCTAGTCTTTCATTTCAAAAAAGCATCCATTACTTTGGTGGTCTAAAAATCACTCAGACTTTTTTTGGTGGAGTTGTATAAGGATTTGGCAGTGCCTTTTCTTCACTGTTAAACTGTGGATGCCATTGCTCTCAAGCTTATCTGGTCAAACTGGGAAATGGAGCAATCCTCCTGGCTCAGCTTTTGCTGGGATGGTGACAGTGCTGTGTTTTCCCATGCAGGGAGACTGCAGCTAGAGACTCTGCCACTGAAGGCATCATGGATACTTCAGGACAGTGAGAAGTGCTTTTACTTAGCTGAGTAACCTGCTTCTTAAAGTACTCGTTTGAGATTTGCTTTCTAAGGCTTTTTAAATGCAGCATCAGTCCTGAGCTTGTTTGTGTTGTTTTATTAGAAAGACAAGTGCCTTGGGATGAGTAAAGGCACAAATTGAAAAAGAGAGTGCCTTTCTAAAAATGTTTAATGATTTTATTTCAGATGCCTCCCAAGCCAGGCATGTGGAAGGAGGAACCATTGCAGGACCTAAAGAGGATTGTTCAAGAATTAACAAGCTTAGACAATGACATTACCATTGCAGATCTTGGCAGAGATGACAGCAGTGGTGGGAGAAAATCACCTTTAGCAGCCATGAGGAGCAGAGTGTAAGAATAGTATTATACTGATATTTATGCTGTGTGTCCCTCAACACTCATACCCAAAATGAGTCTAGCTGCTTTTTGGAAGTTAATCAATGATCCCTTTCCATTCTCTCATCAAATACCACTGTACTCTAAGAATTTATACTGCCTGAAAAAAGACAAACCTGGAAAAGACAAGAGTTTATGTTATGCTAGTCACAGAATCATAGAATGGTTAAGGTTGGAAGGGATCTTAAAGATCATTAGTCATCTGATGCTGTTAGCTGAAATATGGGCTAAAAAGCACCTAATAATTGGAACCTGGTCTGAAAAGAAGCTAAATAGAAGCACTGTGAGTCACCAGAAGGAAGACTGCAATGGCTTTTATTCTCTAAAGCAGAAGCTTAGTGTCTTTTTTCCATCTTCATGATTACCTTCATCTTCATCTTTTCCATCTTCCTGATTTATTCATAACAAATCTAGTCTTTCATTTCAAAAAAGCATCCATTACTTTGGTGGTCTAAAAATCACTCAGACTTTTTTTGGTGGAGTTGTATAAGGATTTGGCAGTGCCTTTTCTTCACTGTTAGACTGTGGATGCCATTGCTCTCAAGCTTATCTGGTCAAACTGGGAAATGGAGCAATCCTCCTGGCTCAGCTTTTGCTGGGATGGTGACAGTGCTGTGTTTTCCCATGCAGGGAGACTGCAGCTAGAGACTCTGCCACTGAAGGCATCATGGATACTTCAGGACAGTGAGAAGTGCTTTTACTTAGCTGAGTAACCTGCTTCTTAAAGTACTCGTTTGAGATTTGCTTTCTAAGGCTTTTTAAATGCAGCATCAGTCCTGAGCTTGTTTGTGTTGTTTTATTCATAATGCTGAAAGCTTGTTGGGAGTTGCAAACCAAAGCTGAGATGCTACTTCCATCTCTCTAAAAGCAAGCTCTGGGACTTTTAAAAATTGTTTGCTTTTAATTTACATTTATAAGACCTGGAGATTATATATGTGAGCTTCACATTCTCCCTGTGGAGGGTAGTTAATATTACCATAACTTAGTCTAACACTTCCCAAATGCATGTTTTGCCATTGTTTTGCTTGCAGGGATCCTTCATGCTTACCTACTGCAGGTCTCCAGTCCCAAGATGTTACTCTGTCCTTTACACCCCTTGGTAAGTTTTCACTACCCAAGATAGAGGATGAATGTGCCAGATCAATGTTGAACTGGACCATTACAGAATATTACCAAAAAATACATAGTCCAAATACATTTTCTTAGATCCTTTACTTAGGTACCTCTTAGCAGGTGCTGTTCTGAAGCCTTTATGCAAAATCTGTATCTTGTTGCAAACTAGCTCCATGGAGGCTGACACAGCACAGCTAAAATGGGTATCTTCCTTGGTAGCTATTTATGAACACTGATAGTCTCCTGGATAATATTGTCAAATGTTTGGTGCCTAACTTTAGGCTCTTGAATCCTGTATTCAGACATCTAAGTATGGATGTGCTTTGGAGAGGAATCAGGTCATTGCAAATTCTGTTGATTCTCTTCCCCATACTGACATGGTCAGTACCCTATAAAATGAATAAACAACCATGACATGAATTTAGTAACCTAAGCAGAAATACAAGGATGTGGCCTTGAGCATCAGGGAGCTTCAGTCTGCTCACTGTTCTTTGCTTGGATACCTCCTAGGATGTAAATCTATCTTCTCAGCAGCTCCTCATTATAGATCCTCCTCCAAGAAGGTCTCTCAGGAGCAGAGACACAGAGAAAGGTCTCCAGTGCACTTGCTGTTAACTTCTCCACCCGACGAGCTTGGGGCTGGCCCTGGCACCTCACCAGAGCACAGACCGTGGGCAAGGACAGTTGCCTTTCCAGAGGGTGCAGCCACAGTCCCCCAGATAAGTAAGTCCAGTCCCATTTACTGATCCAAAGAGCTTGGCTGGGTCTCTTCCCAGCCAGTACAGTGAGTGAGTTACAAACTGTAGGTTAAATTCAGCCACTCAGCAGTTCTGCAGAGACCAGTGGAGTCCCAGCATCGTTCACAGATACAGTCCTTGACAGTTGATGACTGTGGTACCTGTACTTCATATTGTATGTATTTTGCAAGGTACCTTTGCCATTTGTTGCTTACAAAATCTGTTCATGTTGCTGAATGTGAACACCAGCAGCTCTCAAATGTACAGGCCTGACATGGGATTGATCTTCCGTTTGTGGTTCCAGCAAGTGCAACGACACCCTGCAAATTTACTGAAATGCAATTTACTGATGCTTTGTTTTAAAGCAGTCTTTAGGCCTTCTGGCCCAGTTACCTAAAATGACCTGTTCTTGCTTCCATCAGGCTACCTTCACCCTGTCACAATTCTGTTCAAGTAGAAGGGGTTTTTTTCTGTGGGTCTCGGTATGGTCTGTGAAGGAACAAGAGTTGTCTTGGAATTGTTTTTAACGGGGCTTTGGGGCGTTCTGGCCCAGTTACCTAAAATGACCTGTTCTTGCTTCCATCAGGCTACCTTCACCCTGTCACAATTCTGTTCAAGTAGAAGGGGTTTTTTTCTGTGATAAATTCATTGTGAGTAAAACATAGCAGCTAATTAATGTATTACACAAAGAGAAGATGAAGTCCATACAACACTACATTTCAGAACTGGTGAATTGCTTTATTCAGGTAAATAGACTGTAGGGGATGCTTAATATTGATATTTGCAGTAACAGGCAACACAGTTGCCTAATATTAGTATTTGTAATAATTGTTGGGGTTCCTGTAACACATTTAGAAAAGTTCTGGGGTTTACTGAAAATGTTGATGTCAGGCTGTGTCGGCGTAGCTCTTAAGTGATAAATGCATCACAAAATATATGTGAGGATGATGAACATTTTCAAGGTAATCTATTCACTACTTGGTAGTGAGCCAGGCTGTCAGGAATGCTTGATTACATTTAAAGTAGCAGAAAGACCCCAAAATGAGCAGACACAACAGCAAAGCGAGATAAGGAACTAATTTTTCAAGTAATACTTATCAAATAACCATTTTTAAGCATTACATTTCTCTATTTTGCAAGGTCTGAAAAGATCTTGTCTCTTAAAAGGAACATAAGCACTGCAGGTAGGAGTGTAATGGAGATGTTGCACACCCAGCTCTAAGCTAGCTCTGGTACAGCCCAAAATCTAACCACAGCTCCAAGGAGCTCTGAAGGACTAATGTTGGCTGCTTCTCAGGTGGGCTTTTTAAAAATAATTTCAGCCTTACTTTAGCATGTCTATATTGTGCTTTATATCACAGAGACTTACCCTCAAGCAATTTATCTGTTGCATTTTGGAAACATCAGGTTCTTCTCTTTATGCAGAGGGGCACCTCAAACAGCTGGGCTGACCAATCATCTTGACTAGAACAGAAACGTACTCACTGACCCTTCCTTTTCCCCCCACCTGACTGGGCACAGATGAAGAGCATATTTGTCAGCTAATCTGTATTTTTAATGCATGAAGTGCCTGTTCACACAGAGAGCACAGATGTGTGTGGCATTTCCCCATCCAAGGACCGATCTGGCTGGTTTTTTTGGTTTGTTTGCTAATTTGGTCAGCCAGTTACCTCCATCTCTGTCTCTTTTTTCTTTTTCCTTTTTTTTTGGCCTCTTTTTACGAAGGATTGATGATGTCAGCAAGTTCTGGTCAGAAGAGGCTTCAGGAGACTGTAATTGTTTGTGAAGTACTGGCATGACCCTGTCTGGGTGTTGCTGTTCAGTCAGACAGGCACTGTGCCTCTTGAATTATGCACTGCTCTAGATCTTCAAAGACTTGTAATTTCTGAGTTTGTTCCTGGCTTTAGTAAGTTACATCTTCCTGTACCTTAGTTTTCCACTTGTAAAATGCAGCTGATGCTGCTGCTTCCCTTTGTACAGCCCTTGCAGTTCTGCTGGCAAAGAGAGACTTACA